GCTAAACATTTTCTAATATAAATAGACTTTTCGTTTACGGGTGTTTAATATGCCCAATAACAAAAACGTGCATTAAATAGCAAATCTGAACTTTTAGAAATATCGATGACAGATACAAGTGAAAACTCAAATACTAAAAACACATTGTCTATTAGTTTTTAAACTAAAACCAATAATTGACTCCACAATTTCATTTGATATTTTTCTTTAAAAAACCATTACACAATATAGTTGAAAATTTAATAGCTCTAAAATAAACAAAATTACATAACTATAGGTTCTATTATTTTAAAAAATTATAAACAAAAAAGTTCTGCACTTTAAAAGCGTGAATCAAATTTACATAACTATAAGTACTATAATTTAAGGTATGATTTTAAATATATTTTTTTTTGTTTTTCCGTACATTGCAGTCTTGCAGATAACCATCTCCTATTTCTGTGTAATATATTTCCACTTCTTTAGTTAATTTTCCATGGTAGTTATCCTTTAAATATATAATTTTAGTAGGGCTATATGAATTAATATATATCAACTTTAAACTTTTTTGTTAAAGCCATTTTTGTAAATTTGTAGATGTATACAACAGTAAGTAAACACAATCAGTGACGAATTACAAATAGTTGTGTATCTATGCATTAGAGCAAATTGATACATAATGCGGAAAAAATATAATAATTGCACAGAGTTTGATTCAAACAAGGGAAATCAAACACTTATTCAGTTGATCAATGTTCTCATTAAAATAAATATTTTTAAAAAATATTATTTTTTGTTTTTAAAATTATTTCAATATATACCTATTTTAAATAAATTTGGTTAACTAATTATACATCATAAAAATATCTAAATTTTTAAATGATGCAAAGTCATTATTCTAGACATGAATACTTAATATAACAGTGAGATTCTATAATTTAATATATCAAAATAATATGTTTCTATTTGTATAAGTTTTTTTATCACACATTTTAAAATTTATTTTACCGCAAAAAGCACTTATCATTATTTTAAAATAATTTTAGTTTCCATTTAATGTAATTTATATTTTGCATCTTCGACATTAACAATTTTAGAACTTATCATTTATATTTATATTTACTGCTCACTTTTCCCAAACACTTAAAACTAATTAGATTACAATTATAGTAATACATAAAATTTTATTTTGGTATTGAAATAAAAAATAATGTATGTAAGAATATAAAATAATGAAGAATACAACAATAGGTTTTATTATTATTCAGTCATGTTTTTATTTATGTTTCTCCTATTTTTTTCTTATTAAAAACAAACACGTCAATTTTATTATCCTAAAAGTTATATGAATTATATGTTCTGAATTTTGAAATTAATATAATGTTCTGATTTATGTAATGTTATGATTTTTGTACAGGTTAGAATTATTCAAAATGCTAAAATTTTAGTCCACTTAAAAATAACAATTATAAACAAAAATTAATAAGTAGAATTTGAAAAACCGCATTAAATTTCTAATTTCTTTTGTATTCGACTTTGATCAGTTTGTGTCTGTATAATA